GGAAATAATTTTCTAGGGTTCCCCGAGCTTCTTTCCTGTGATTGAGCATGGGGCTTTTAGATGTTTGGGGATTTTGAACAGAGGGGTAACATTTCCAGATAACCAGTGGCAGAATGGAGGATATTTTGGCAGTGGGTAGTTCACAGAGGGAGATACTCATGGGAGAAGCTGATGCCATGGTCCATGCTAGGATGGAAGTGAGAAATAAGGGATGTGTGAAGATAAGTAATAAAGGAAGAGCTCACCACCTGCCTGTGATGTTTGGACAATAAACCTGGGATGGGAAGGAGGAGAAAGTCTGCTACAGTTGTCCACAGCCTGAGCTCTCTGAGGCCACCAGGGAAATGACTAAACTGTCTTATAGCTAGTCAGCCAGATCCTCAGGAAAAGCTGCTCAGGAAGCTCTCTCACGCCATCTGGTAGAGGGTGTCTCCTCTTGTCTGTGTCTGGGAGAACCTCACCCACTTGAGAATGAATCATTGACACATGAGCTCTGCGGGACTCCCCATTGCTCCCACAGTCTCCAGCCTCTGTTTCTGATTAAGCCAGAGTCCCAGCCTTGGGTTAGTTCTAGAGGGACCGAACCTAGGATCAAACCCATTTGGTTTTGATAGCTATAGTGCTCCAATTATTGTGCCCTTGATCACCCTTAAATAACTGCACCCCCAGATTCTATCTCATCTCAATAAATGCACAGACCTCAGGCAGGGTAGGAAAAAGTAATTTTATCCCTTATCTTAGCGACTAGGGAGTGACATTTCCAACCTCTGTGCTTCCCTGTTGTTCTTTTGGCTGTCCACTGTCTAGGTCTCTACAGTATTAGTTACCCTTTTAAAAAAGGGGCCCTCCCTGGTGGCACAGTGGGTTAAAGCACAGCACTAAGAAGCTAAAATCACTTCATCATGAGTTGGAACCCCACCCCAGCAGTTGACCCACGTGGCGCAGCAGACCTCTCCTGACTCACCCGCTGCTCCCCTCAGCAGAGTACTTCATCAGTTGGCCAGTTCCACTCCCCATTCTGTCTCTGGTGAATCCTCTCACTGCCCCTGCACCTCTGGTCTGTACCCCAGTTCTGTATGCACAAATAAATAAATCTTAAAAAAAAAAAAAAAAGATGGTGCCCTTGGGAACCTGATCACTCTCTTATAGACCCTGAAAGTGTTAGGTTATTTGAATAACGGCAGAGAGGCTGCACAAGGCTGTCTCAGAGGTATGTCCCTTTGACTCTTTCATTTTGGGGGGAATATGTAAAACCAGTGGAAATTTAATTGAAGGGAGACAGCTAACCAGGGAGGTAGCCCTTCATTTCCTCTCTCCTAGCTTAGTTCATCATTTACAGCGACTATAACCAGCAAGAGCAGCCTTCAGTCCTTTTCACTAACCATCGTATCTTTCCTATTAGCAAAAACCTTAACCCAAAGCTAGAATGGCCCAGGGCTGAGCCACTGGCCTTCAGCGACAGAGCTTAAAGGGACTACTGCTCTGATGTGGTCTGGGCAATGCAGGAAGAAAAGGGGAAGTGTGGTCAGAGCCCCAGAAAGATGGCAGTGACAGAGGGGAACTGGTCTGTGGGTACAGAAAGGGGAACAGAAAAGGGATCACAGAACCAATGTGGCTCCATGTCTCTCCAGTCACTTCCCCGCGCGTTAGCATTCATGCTTCCTCTACCTTCTGTTTGGCACCCAGCCCGACCCACCCCTGGCCCCAGTCTGTGGGGGAGGTGGGGTCCTACTCAGCTTACTGTGGTAGGTGGAGAGCTGAGTTCTGGTTACCCCACAGCGAACAGTCAGTGGGCATCTTCCAGAAAAGCGAATGCATCGAATGCACCACGCTTGTGGCCTGAGCCTGAGCATCCGGCTGCTCCCAGGGCACTTCCCAACAACCACTGGCTAAGGTCAGGCTGCCCTGTCACCAAAGGCTGTGTGGCTGCTGCCTCGGTAGTCTCCGCTTCCTGCTTTGAGCTGCCCAGCGGTGACAGGGGAGACTTTCCACTGGGGAGTGTCCCCCATCATGTCTTAGAGAGGCGCGAGGGAGAAGTCAGTGATTGCTTTAGTGAAACGTACTGCTGGGAACTGAAGTAGCTTAGGGGACAGAAGTGCTCCAAAGTGGTCTCTTTCCAGTGCTTTCGTAGGAAACCAGATACACATCAGCGCAGGTTATACGTCTCCCCAAAAGCTGTCCTGGCAGTAATGGGTGGGGGGGGGGTCCTCTCTTGTTTGTACTCTCACCCTTTGCAGATCGCTGTGAGGTGCCACTTGTGGGTAATTGTAAGGATCTTGGGGGTTGCCTCTCTCTACCCACCAGCTGAGGATTTTTCTGTTGGGGGACTGGGGACCCAGTGATGATCCGGACTAGAATTCTAAGGAGGCGGTTCATTCTGTTTCCAAATGGGTTGCTGAAAACAGCAGATGCCCCTCTCTGCTAAATGAAACTATTGAAACCTGACAAACGAGGGGCCAGCAAAGGCAGGGAAGTGATGTGTATTCTCCAGCAAAACAACCCTGTTCCTGGCTGCAAACAGCAACCCAGATCGGAGAGTATTGTGTAATCTCCCCTCAAGAACACTTAGTGATGCAAGACATTTTGCTCCAGTTCTTGATGAGTGAATGTGGAAGGATCATGGAAATCTGAGACAAAAGAGTCACTTCTTTGATGCCCTCCCCCTCCACCCCCCAGACTGCAGTGGGCACAGATAATGAGCAGAAGTGAGATTGGGCCCAGGACCTCACCTGCCCCTCTCAGGGGTGGGTGGTAGCTAGGCAAAGTGACTATACGTGTACACTGAGCACATGGGATGTGAAAATCCATCACGGTTAAGCCATGATGATGGATGGGGGAGCAGGCCAAACCAAGAGGAAGCCTGCTGGAGTTTGCAGGGTTACACAGCTATCCCAGGAGACAGAAAATGCTGCCCAGTTCCCAGAAATGTCCATAATTGGTGGGGGACGGGGTGGAGGTGGGGGAAGACCTTAGTGTTTTCCTGGACTTCATTTAATAGACCTCACTTGGTGTATTATATTCCAGTTTGGGCTCCTCAACCACTTCCCACTCTCAGGAGGAGGATGTTTATAAATTAGAAGTAAAAGGAATAAAAAATCATTATAGTGCCCGGGAGGATTAAACATCGGACTTGTGATGTAACATTTGCCGCTGCTTGCTGTCTGTCCATCCCTTCTCCCTACTACAGGATGGAGCAAACGTGTGGGTCTCAGGGTGCCAGGGAGATGGTCAGGACAGGGCTCACAAGTGTGAGATTTCACCCAGTCGTTCCCAAGTGTGCCTTTGCAAGGGTCTTCCGTTCAAGGGGCAAGAATGAGGCACAATGACAGTTTCTGAGAGAACAGTGTGATTTTATACACTCAGTTTGTGAACTGCAGAGCTGACGTTCTCTTACATCACTCACCAGGGGTCATGCTGATGAAGTGACCCAGTTGTGTTGGCCACAGCTGTCCAGCTTCGTGTAATAATAGTGGTAGTGCTGGCAGGAATAGTCCAGGACCCCCCATGCAGGAACAGCCAGGCACTGTGCCCCTGCCATTACTCCTAGGGAAGCTCAAATAACTTTATGATTCAGACTCAACCTCTGTCTCATTCCCAAAGCTCTTTTTGTTGTGCATTAAAGTCAAGCAGAAAATTGTGGGGAGCACAAGAACCAGAGAGAGACGCAGACAGGAATTTGAATCACACATGAAAAGTCCAGCTCTCCCCGAGGCAGCGGCATCAACTTCATCATCTTTCTGTGTTCATAGTCCCAAGGACCTCGTTTCCATGAACTAGCCTGGCTGGGAAGGAGGTGCTGGGTTGAAGAGGGCGGGGTGGGGTCTCTGATGCCAGTAGCTGCCTCTCCTTCCCAGCTGGCAGAGAGGCGGCCCCCACTGTAGTGTACCTCAGCACAGGCTAGTTTGGAGTGTCTGATGAGGAAAGTGAGAGGAGATAAAAGGCACCAGGAGTGTCAGAGGAATGGCGGAGTCCGTGGTAGCCAGTAAACGCCCGCTATAGGCTTCAGTGACTCAGGCACACGCCAAGCCTCCATTAAATTAGGTGGCGTGAGAGAGAAGTGGGGCGGCCACAGGAGGCACCCCACCATCACCATCACTTCCTAGGTGGGGCAGCCACCCTGCCTCTGATCAGTCACCTCAGGCTTTTGCTTTCCGAGGTCCCTGGTCAGAAACGTCCGCCTGCAGTGGACTTTGTCAGAATAGCTCCCACGGGCGTTCTTGACACCATCCTCCTCTTTCGGATGCATGGCCTCCCTCTGCTGGCCGCGAGATCCTGGCCTGCCGCTTTTGTTTACCCATGCACATTCTTAATCTAGTCGGTCCTAATCTATTCCGTGCAGACTCTGCACCACAAGGCATCTGCGGCCCAGAGGCTCAGGAGCAGTAACACAAGCCTGGGATGTTCAGTCGGCAGGTGATCAGACTATTAAGCTGTCGCTGGGTTGTTGTAATTATTGAAGAGCAAACACACTCATACTAGCAGTTATGGCCCTTGCATTGTATATCTCGCTCGGGATCCCGTTAGTAGCCTGTTCAGCTTGCAGGCATTGAGTAATAGCTGCTGTTCTCCAGAAGGCATCCATTTCTAGTAGAATTGCTGGGCATGGGGGGATTTGATAGAGATGTGTATTCTTCGTTAGTGGAAAATGAAAATAGAGAATGGTTGCACACAGACCTGGAAAGTGACAGTGGCCAAAAGGGTCTTTTCAAACTCAAAGTTGTGCTGTTAGCCTCTAAGACACAAAATAAAGTATGAGCAGCTACCATAAAATGACCTTCTTGGGTTAGCGAGATGAGCATAGAAATACTTGAGAAGCAAAAGTACGTTCATGGTGCACGCACAACAAAGCTCACGAAGGGCTTTCAGGGGTAAACGTGCAGTGACGAAGGGTTTACAGCTGCTCTTGCTGTTAGCAGTGCCTTCACGTGCAGGACAGCGGAACGGTCTTATTGATTCTAAGTCACCTTTTTTTGACCCATCGTTTTTCCTTCTCTTCTCAGAACTCTCCTTGCGCCCAAGCCACCAAAAAGCCAAGATGTTGGTCTTTCTGGCTTCGATCTTTGTGGTCCACATTGCCACAGCCATCATGCTGTTTGTCTCTACCATCGCCAACGTGAGTATCGGCCTGTAGACCCTCATAATATATTCTAGTACTTACGTCAAATGCTGCAAAAGATGCTTGGGCTACAGCTCCCGCCCTTGGCGAAAGTACATTTTCCTTGGGGTGGGCATGAAGGTGCAAGAAAATAAGTCAGTTCTCCTTGAAAGACTCTGCCAGGGCTGCAGGCATCTGGAGTGGCCAGGGTAGCCTCTCTGGTCTCCCGGGGACACTTCTGGGGAGGCCGTTAGGAGGCAGCTGCACTGGCTTTGTCCTGAGAGAGCACGTTGGTGGGAAGACGTGGGCGTACACTTCCTCCTGGGTGGGAAGGGCCTGCTCTGTTCAGACTATAGCGAGGACAGCCAGGGGTAGGTCGTTTCCTCCTGGGAACCTTGGCGGGAAGGGTCAGTGAAGTTAATGACAAGAAGCTTTGGTGCAGACTAACCTATTCAAGCTTTGAGCAATGAGTGGCCTGTGAAAGTGGAATTTTGCAAGATGAACTTGCTTCCACTGAATAAACTCAAATGAAACGCCTGAGAACTAGCAGGCCTCTTTTCCTCTCTGAACCTTGGGCTACTCTGACCTCTAGTGGTAGCTCAGAACACCCAATTTGCCTTTTTTTTTTTTTCTTTTTTTGGTGCTTTACTCAAAACAACAACCAAAAAATAACAAAACAAAACACCAACTGTGGACACAAAACCAAGACTACCAGTCACTGTACAGCAACCAGTGGTCCCAGAATCTCTGTAGGTCCTTGTTACACGACAGGGTAAATGAGGTTTTAAAGTTCAGCTGGAAGAGTTTTGCCACTACTGATGGGAGACAGCTGTGCCCAGCCACGGCGCCAGCCCAGGGGGGGTTAGCCTCTTGTTTAACCATTCTGCACGCCCACTCCTGAGTCCATCAGATCAGTAGGTCGGATGAACAGTTTCAAACCAGATTAGCCAAAGTGCTGAACATCTGAATTAACGCCCCTTCAGTAGGGCCAGGCACATGGTCATTTACTGAATCCAGAGCAGCAGGCAGTTACTCTTGCTGGACCCTGCCCTTCCAGGGATGTGCATTTTAACAGGCACCCTGTGTGCACAGAGTGGGGCTTTTGTCTCATGTCCCATCATCCATTCTAGAAGGTTAAGCACTTTCCTTGGGTCGGGGAGGAGCCCTGGCAGTGGGGTGTGCCTGGGGCGGGGGCAGGGGGGTTTACAGTGTGATCCCATTTGGATTCTGAGCTGCCTCCACAGCAAAGCCCCTACCAGCTGTCAAACTACTTTGCAGGGCGTGACAAAGCTGAGTCTCCCATTGGGAGGAAGGTTGCCCACTGACACCATGGCCACCACATTTTCTTCGTTGTCCTTGCGTTTCTTAGTGTCTCCAGCTGAATGCTCTTCCTTCTGTTCTCCTCTGAGCTGAGCCCTTACACGAATCCATCTTGATCAGGGCTGAATTATGCATATCTAAAACAAGTCTCCTCACCCACATTTCTGTTTCTTAGAAGCTTAACATTTTAAACCACTGTGGTTCATGCACTTTCTTTTTTCTTTTTAAACTGATGAGAAATTATCACCTGTCTACAGTATAGGTAAGCATTTTAATTGCATTTTCAATTTCTCTGCCCAGAGAGGCAAGGCAATGCTTCCCATCACCCAAGCTGCTCTTCTCCCTTGGGACCTTTGTGATTTCTGTTTTAGTCAGATCTTATTTCAGTCAAGACCTAGGTTACTAACCGTGGGGTCCTATGTAAGATTTGGTCCTGACAAAAAGCCATTCTTTCTTTCTATTTCAAAGCAGAGGGGTGGGTTTCTAAACAACATTTGGTTTCTTTCTGCTTGCAGGTCTGGGTGGTTTCTGATTATGAAAAAGCATCAGTGGGCCTTTGGAAATCCTGTATAGGTGGTAGCTGCAACGCAACTCTGCCATATGCCGGTCAAGGTACGTGGAAATAGTGCCCCCGCTCACCCCTTTTCTTTTCTCCTCCTTCCCCCCCCACCCCCTCATGCTAATGACTTAGAGTGATGTCCAGCATGGTGTGTGTATGGTGTGGGAAGCCCGGTGGACCTCAAGCTCTTGATTTCCCTACCCTGTGCCCACAGAAGCCATCAAAGCAGTACAGGCCTTCATGATCCTCGCCACCATCTTCTCCGTCATCTCCCTCGTGATCTTCGTGTTCCAGCTCTTCACCATGGAGAAAGGAAACCGCTTCTTCCTCTCGGGGGCCACCATGCTGGTGTGCTGTGAGTACCTCAGCTCTCTTACAGATCCGACCTCGATGTCCCCGGCGCATGGCTGGGCTAAATGCTGGGTGCAGCTTTCTCCTCTGGTCATTGTTCTCCCTTTGAAAGCCCCTCATAGCTGCTTGCACTCAAGGACCTCATCTGTGAGTCCTTGGAAAGATGGACCCACTAATAGCATGCACACAAGTATTGCCATTCTCACTCCTCCCAGTAAATAAGTTCAGCGGGAGGATATAAGGTTGTGCCCCCTAGGCAATCCCCCCCCCCCACACACACACACAGGTGGGAGGGCCGGGTAGTAGATGTGAGCTTGGGCCATGCAACCATGTGAGGCAGTGCAGGCAAGATTCCAAACAGCCACCCAGTGCATCCCACTACAACCCCAAGCTTGGTTCCGGACTTATCTGTGGAACTACTGGCTGGAATCAGACAACCAGATTTCGTTTTCCCACTAAAAATTCTACACATTTTCGGTTGGTTTTAATAGTAAAACAAATCCCAAAACAAAGCATCTTTTCCTTCCTCCAGGGCTGTGCATTCTGGTCGGCGTGTCTGTCTACACCCACCATTACGCCAATAAAAATATATACACGAAAAGTCACCACGGATACTGCTTCATCCTGACCTGGATCTGCTTCTGCTTCAGCCTCATCACTGGCATCGTCTACCTGGTCCTGAGAAAGAAATAAGGCTGAACAACCTTTTTGGGGATCTGGGGGGTGGGGAGGAGAAAGCAGTTGAATGTGGGAGGGAAATGGAAAGTTTCTATGCAGGAAAAACCAGGAGAGGGGAGGGGGGCCGGGGAGGGGAAGCCAGGGTGGGAGAGGTTGAAACCCAAATTGTTACAGAAAAGGCTCTCTACTGTTGAGCCGAGTCTTGGGAGAAAGTAGCTGGCTAGTACTTTCGTGCTCCCTGGGTGGGGGTCAGAGAACTTCTTTCCTGCCTCCAAGCTGGGCCTCCAGCTGTTCTTGGTCATGCGCACTGCCTAGGGCCCACCAGCTGCCACCCAACTGGCTCCAGTTCTAAGGGTGCTCTAAACCTTGCACGAGGACCTCAGAGCTAAGATACCAAGTGAAAATAGCGGTACAGGGGCCAGCAAGAGCAGATGCTATTTTGTGTTGAATGGAGTCTGCCTGAAAGCCATCCTGCCCTCTGACCCAAAGCAAAAAGCATCCCATTGTAGTCTGAAGGGCCTGCAGGAAGGCTCGGCCCTGAGCCAGCTTCCCTCTTTAGAGCAGATATTTAGTTCTGGAGTTCAGTGGTATTCATGACAAAAATGGGAGGAAGAGAGAGCATCCTTAGGCCATGTTGGTGAACTAGCTAGATCAAGAACGAGAACTTTTCCGAACGGAAGGCTGGGGCATGGTCACAAGCTGGACCAGACCCCATGCAGCTGTCCCATGTGGAGACCTCTTGCAGGGGGCTTAGCTGGCCCCTCCCTGCCAGCCCAGGTAGCCCTGGAGTTCCTGTAATGCCGCTGTTAACCCATTCAGTCAATAACCAAAGCTCACACAAATGAAGGGAAAAAGGGGCAGTCTGGTAACCGTGTGACATGAGGGTTATGTTTTTAGGGTCTCGTCTCCCTGTAACCAAAATATTCTTTACCTAAAGGATGGGAGAGCTAGACCTAGCTCCTTGGAATACAGTCTATTACTCTCCTGCTAAGTGTGAATCTTTAAGGAAGTTTTGTCTCATTATCCATTTTGGGGGGTCAGGGTTCCCGGGCTGGGTAGTAGCTCTAGCTTTGACACTGACTGGAGCAGTTGGTCACCTTCCAGAGGACCGGCTGATCCCACATCACAACCGAGGCAGGACAGTTCTGGAAGCTGATTAAAACACACATGAACCAAAACTAAAATGCTTGGGTGAAAGGTGCTATAGAACTGTCAAGTATTAAGCATATTAGATTTCGGTGACAATAAGAAAAGAGTGCCTGCACTCCCAGGAAAATAAAGTTCCCATGAAATACATAAAAAGAGGTGATGGGCAGATAGGTATTTTCTTTAAGCAAAGAAAAAAAAAAAAAAAAAAAAAGGCCCCCGTGGTGCCTAGTCAGACGGCTGCCAAGTTGTCTGCTGTCACTGGGGCCTTTCTACAAAGTACTTAGGGGTAGTGTGTTAACCCTGGGTCAGCAGGCATTGCTCTGGCCTGGAGCAGCTATTTTTAAGCCATCTCAGATTCTGCCTAAAGGGGCTTGGGGGAAAAAGAAATTTTCTTTATTTCCTTGAGAAGATCTATCCCGGGGAGAATCGGAGATATCTTGCCTATTTTACTTCTCCCAGATCTCTCCTCATCCCACTTCTTATTACTTTTCCTTTGGGGGAATTGCTATGCCATTATTGGTATTTATGTAAAAGGACTATTACTAAGCATATTTCTCTGTGTTCACTCTAGCTAAGGAAATATTGAGAGTAGGCCACCAAAAGACCTGGGTGAGGAGTTGAGAGGTTGCCAAACAAAAACATTGGGGTGACAAACTTTAATTATGATAGAATTATCATGTGATTATAGAAGGCTGTCTTATGTGCCGAAGCATGTATCAGATATATCCAAAGAGATACTTGTGATATACTGAGAAGTCAGACTGTGACTGGAGTGAACCATATATTTCCTTGTCTTTTACTTTGTTTCTGTGACATTTATGTCTTATGTAATTTTCATTACATTGGTGGGTTTTCTAGTACTGTATTTGGCTTCTTTAATAGACTGATATTTCATATACTATAACTGTAAATATTTTGATACAAATGTTTATAACTGGGGAAAATAAAACAGATTCTGGTTCCCTTCACTGCGTGAATGTTTCCTTTCTAAAAATAGAGAAGTTCAGACATAATAGTGACATTTATTCCTGATTAAATTGTCAGTCAGTTTGATTTGAACAAGTTGGCATTTTTGGAGGCATTAAGTTATTTTCTGGCAATGCATTGGGCATTTCTACAGTAAGTCTTTCAGGCAAGGAAATACGATTTAGCATAGTTTTACTTCAGTCTCTGAGAAAGAAAAAGGAACTTCATAAGCTAATACATGAGAGGTGGTGATCTTGAATCAGGAAGGCTTTTGACATTAAGAAATGAGATGCTTGTAAATTTCTTTGAAATAGTCAACCCCTGTACTTTGTATTAAACAACAACAACAAAATGACCAAAAAACCCAAATAAAAAGCAGCTCACAAAGGTATGTATCACATACTTTGTAGGAACCCCTCATTGCACAAACTGGGGTATATCTGTATAGTCGCTAAGAGAGAAAGAAAGCTTTTCTATTCTCTGTGCACAGCCAAGGCCAGAGCCAATGATGGAAGTGGAGGGGTATTACTGTGTACCCAAGTGTCATGTCAGCACCTATGTGTTAAGAGTGGTTTGAAGGTACCACAGGCAGTCCTTCAGTACCTGTGGTCTTGAATGAAATAACTCACAGAGTAATGTGTACACAAAAATAAAATGGAACCTTAAAAAAAAAATTCAGCATATTTTAAGCTCACTCAACTTGTATTAAGGATTCTCTCAGGGACTTAGGATTTCTTATATTGCTTTTGGGATATGATTGTAAGAAGCTACTTCTCTTCCTTGGCTCTCTCCAGATTTCTTTCCCCCCTATCCCTCCTCCCCATGTCATATGTCCTGCCATGAATCAGGCCTCTGATTCCTTCTTCCTTTCTCACTATAGTCAGACTTCCTATCCAAGGAGTCCTCTTATGCAAGATGGAATCTTGGAATCTTTCATTTGAAAGACCTGGTGGTGAATGGGGATAGTTAGTTAGCAGCTGGCTCACATGACTGTAGAGGCAGGCAGGCACCAAACCCAAACCTACAGGGGTCTGATAGGCTGGACATCCAGGAAAGAGCTGATGCTGAAGTTCAAAGGCAAAGACTGTGCTGGCAGAATACACTCTTGTCCTGTAGTTCAGTCTGTTGTGTTCTTCAGGCCTTCAGCTGATTAGGTAAGGCCCACCCACAGGCTAGAGGGCAATCTATTCAAAGTCCACTGAGTTAAATGTTAATCTCATTAGTACAGCATCAGTACATCCAGAATAATATCTAATCATGTATCTGCGTGCCGTGGCCAAGCAAATTAACACACAAAGTTAACAACCCCAGGAAAGAATATCATTATCAAGGATAAGGCAATGGTTTACTAAAGATCTTCAGAAAAGTTAAAAGAAGCATTAATAGATTAATAGTAGAAATCTTTATGGTTACAGTTGACTCCTAGCTCTTTTAAGTAGTGAAATAGGAAGACATGGGGATTAAGTTGCAAAGTGATCTTGGATATCTTCTGAAAGACAAGGTTCTCACAAGGGTGTTGGATATATATTTGAATTAAATCTCTTAGGTGGAGTCAAACTGAATTTAGATAGTTAATACTCTGGAGATACATCCAAATGATGAGTTTAGGGAAGATGAACTACAGAACTTCCCATTCCCACTCAAGAATGGCGCCTGTGGCAAATGACAACCGAAACTCTCCATCCAGGTGGTCACCTCGAGGCTGGATGCTTAATGGACAGGCATGCCACTCCACCGTGGACACTGACATCGCAGTTTCCCTGCAACCCCCCCACAGACTTTCAGGCACACGGACATGTTTCAGGAAAGCTTTGAAGGAAAACTAAGAGGATATTATGCAAAACTCCATACTTCAAAGTTGTCTCTCTGTTTCCTGAGGAATAGCCAAAATACACCAAAAACACAGATAAAATGCAAAAGTGAAAAAATGTGTGAGGTTAAAAGAAAAGTAGGATTTAGAGAAATGAGAGGAATGTGGTAGGATGGTAGGAGGCATTAAGAAAAGAGGAAAACGTTAGAAATTTGGGGTGGATTCTGAGAGGTGACCCTGTTTTATTATGTTAACATTGGCCTACATCATTACTTTGATTCAGAGGTATAGGATCTCCTCTTTCAGGTGTCACTACACCATTCCTTCGTTCCTCCTGTAGCTGCAGGAAGAGTCATATTTGAAAGCTTTCCTAAGAGAAAACAGTGAGATGCAAAGGAGCAATTACCATTAATTTATATGGAAAAAATTAGAGCATTTCATTCCCAACCCCCCCCAATAACCTTTCAAATCATGCCAAATAGCACATGTGTAAAAGCAGGGCTGAGATGATACATCCAGTCTGCTAGAAATTGCTATGAAGAGGGAGCTTGCCAGGCCGGTGCTGTCTGCTCTCTGCAGGGTGCTGCCGTCTCTGTAACAGATAACCCCAAATCAACTCCAAAGGTTATGTTTGCTTGTAGACTTGTGTTACAAAGGGAAACTCCTTTTGGGATTTTCTTTCTGTCAGCAAAAACAGGGATAATGTGGGTTCTTTTGTCAAAGCCAAGTGGGTTAACACTGAACTTGCAAAAAAGGGGTACTTGTATTTGCAGTCCAGAGACACACCAAGCACCCCTGCACAGCAGGTGGGGAAGGGTGTGCTTGAAGTCCTAACAGTGGCCACAGGATTTTAGGATTTACGAAACTGGCTTAAGCAAAAGGAAATATGAGAAAAGCAATCAGCTTGGGCAAATGGCTATAGAGAATAGTTAAGTTCCGAGGGCCTGTTCCTGGTCACTGAAACATCAACAAACTTCCTTTTAAAAAAGAAGCATTCCCAATATTAACAGATTTGTATTGGATCACGCACTCAATAAACTGCCCATCCTTTTACTCCAATCCAGCTTCTGGAATCTCTCCGGAATCTCCGGACGCACGGCGGGCCACGCAGGCGCATGCGCACACACGCCACGTGCACACGCCCTGCCCAATGGAGACGCAGCGAGGCCCACGGGCGCGCCCGTGGGTGTGGGAGGGATCCCGCTCTGGAAAAACACCCACTCGGGTTGTGGAAGATGCACACTGCACATCGACAGTGGTGCCGACCAGGGACCCGCTTTTTTTTTATCGTCGTTCTACTGGCACGCCGTTTGAGCACCTGCTGTATGCTAAGCACAGGCAGGTTCTGGAGTTCCACCTGGACTGACTTCTGCCATATGGAACCATATGGGGCCTACTCGAGGGGGAGAGGGCTGGCTGTTAAAGCAGGCGTTGATCAACGGTGGGCGGCCAGGTGCTGTCCCTCAGGCTCGGGGATATGAGAGACCAAGCGGACACATCTTCTGTCGTCGCCCAGCCTTCCGTCTGCTGTTGTCTCAGACCTAGAGAAAAGGGAAGGCGCCTTTGAACACAGAGAAGACAGCTCTACCGCCTGGGGGATCCTGGAAGCATTTTCAGGTCTTGAGCCCTTCCCCTTGTCCCACCTCAGAGGTGATGAACCATCAACCCCTTTGGGTATCCCCTCTGCTGCAGTGCACCCCCTCCCACAGGCCCACTGCTTTCTTGGGCCCTCCTGGTCTTAGGGCAGCGAGCCACTAGTCAGTACCGTGGTGCCTCCATCTGGACGCTCTCCAGCCTGCCCCTTCCGGCTGCATGGATGCTTCTAGCACCGCTAGGGATCCAGTCCAGGCTAGGAGGACCAAAACTCCTGCACAAGATGCCATCACGTATCATCTCACGGTAGGTTCACACTCAGTCTCCGGGTTAACTGCTCCTCTGCGAGGCCAGAGTGAACCCCAGTCAAGCAGATCGCCTCTCATGGCAAGTGAGGTTCCCATTAGGAGCAGCGGAACAGAGGGGTGGCCTGGGGCAGGGAAGCCAACAGGCTGTGGAGGCCTCCCCTGGGTAGCAGGGGCCTGGTTAGCAAAAGCTATTTGCCTAAGTTGGTTGGAAAGCAGGGTGTGTCTTTCCATAGAGCAATTACTTATAAGATAGGAGTTGAAAAGACATTTGCAAGCTAGCTTGAAAAATAAGCTTAATGGCAATTAGCTTGTTTTTATTTTCAATGGGCATGAGTTCACGTACAGGTTGGAATCTGGAATGCTCTGTAGCTTCCCAGACCCTTTGTGTCACCGGAATATACCTGAGGGTGGAATGCCGAGTGAGCCGGGTCTCCATTTTCAGAAGACAACTGCTGGAGGGCAGGGAACTGGGGCTTGGCTGGTTGGCTCAAATGCAGGCCTAAACTCGGGTGTTCTTCAGCAAAGACCGCTTGTTCCTTCTCTGTCTGATGTTTCAAAAATCAGTCTTAGTTTCTTCACTTTATCAGCATATCAATGGCTTAAATCCACTTTATCTAGCAACTTTAGAGGGATTCTGATGCGTAGGATAGCATTTGACAGTCTTTTAGGCACAATAAAATCTTACTATTTTTGTTTGATTTTAAAATTTCTCCCTCATTAAAAGCAGACATGAGACACAGATATTTATAATTTTCAGGTGAGTCAAAAATAAACCTGTTTGAAATATTTGGATACAATTGTGCAATAGCTTTTGAAGTAACTAGGCCACTTGGAGAATTACAATATTGGATTTATGAGTGAAATAGATGACATGCTTTCCCTTGATCTTTAGTCAGGTGAGTGTTTCTTAAGAAAGTTAAAGTCATTCTTGCAGTTGCACTTCAACCCGGTCCCCTCCCCACCCCTCCCCAGACCAAGTTGTCAAACTCACTTGCACATGGTGGGCTTGAACAGCCTTGGCTACTGTTTCCAGAGTAGTTCAGATGTTTTGCCTCCCCTGGCGTATCATACTTTTGGGGCCTCCTATTGTAACAGGGTGGTCCCTAGGAAAAAGGGAAGTTCCAGGTTCCCTGCCCCACCCAGAAGGAGGGTGGGGCTGAACAGAGAAAAAGGAGAGAAGAGGAGAATGAAGCAGGATGGAGGAGGAGACCTAAGGAAGCCACTTGGAGCATGTGAGGAAGAAACTGTGCTTGTTTCCTGACCCTGGAATGGTTAAGGCAGATGTGGGGGA